CCTCCCCACTGTGCTGTGGCCCCAAACCCATCCCAGGGGCGCTGTGGGGGGCTCTCTCCTAGATTTGAAGCTGAGGTGGGTGCACACTGGCCGGGGAAAGAGGCCCAAGGGAGCAGGTTCTTGATGGGTGGAGGGCGAGGGGTGCAAGCCACATGGGTGGGGGGCATACTGGAGCAGCCTGTGGAACCCCTGCCTCACCTGGCCCCGGGAAGAACTCACATGGGTGGGGGAAGTGAGAGGCAGAGTCCCTCGGGGGCTCCCTGGAGACACCCCAATGTCCACCGACCTCTCCCCAGAGCTCTGCCAGGAAACCACCCCAGTCCACCCAGAGTCTCAGCTCAGAAGGGCCCGTGGTACGGGTCTGGGGCCACAGCACAGCAGGGAGGGCGCTGGCCTGGCACGTGGGCCACCCAGGTTCGATCCCGGGCACCCCATAGGATCCCCCGGTCCCCCGAGTCCTGCTAGGAGTGATTCGTGAGTGGAGAGCCGGAAGTCAGCCCTGAGCATCTATCTCCAGGTGTGGTCCCCAGTGAATAAAAAGATCAAAGAAGGTCCCTAAGGAACCTTCTCCCTCCTCCCCAAACCCTGCTCCCCCACCTCCCCGTCCCCCCTCAAGCACTCCTCCCTCTCCCCTCATGCCCCATCTCCTCCCTCATCCCATCCCTCTTCCCCCTTCATCCCATCCGTCCCTCCTCCTTCCTCCCTAGTCTCCCTCTATTCCCATCTTATCCTTTCCCCACTCCGTCCTCCCCATCATTCACCTCCTCCTCCCTCTCTCCACATCTCCTCCATTTTTTTTAAATCTTTTTCTTTTTGGGTCACATCCGGCGATGCACAGGGGTTACTCCTGGCTCTGAACTCAGGAATTGACTCCTGGCGGTGCTCAGGGGAATGACTCCTGCTCGAACCCGGGTCAGCCGCGTGCAAGGCAAACGCCCTCCCCACTGTGCTATCGCTATAGCTCCAGCCCCCCCCCCACACCTCCTCCTCTTTCATCTCATTCCCCCACCTCCCCACCCCCTGTCTTTGACTCCTCCCTCCCCCCATCCCTCCTCCCCGACAGTTCCCCCCAGCCCAAAGAAGACGCCCTGGTGCTGGTGAGAACCCACATCTTTATTGCAGGAGACTATTTCTAGAGTCAATGCAACACAGACCCCCCCCCCCGGCTGGGGGGAGGGCAGGGGGCACCCACATGCGGCAGGGGCTGGGCGGGGGTGGGCACAGCAAGCTTGGTCTGGCTGGGTCCCCAGAACCAGGGTGTTGTAGCAGGACGGACGGGCCAACAGCCGGGGCAGGCCCTGTTCCCCACACCCGGGTGAACCCCCTTTCCCCGGGGTGGGGGGGCAGGGCCTGGGACAGGAGAGGCCTGGAGACGGGGCCCCAGGGAGATTGTGCTATCAGGGTGTATCCCTGAGAAAGGGCCGCAGACCCTGCCCAGCCCCGCCCCCCCCGGGGCAGTTCCCCCCTCAGGAGCCGTTCCCAGGGGTGGGGCACCTCAAAATGGCAGGGGGGCCTGGATCAGAGGCTCAGCTCAGCTTCTGTAGGGCCTAGCCACACCCCAGCTGGTCACCCTTGGACAGACAGACGCACACACTCACAGACACTGCCCAGAGACGCACTCACAAATGCATACACACATACTCAATTACACACACACAGACACACACACACATACACAGAGACTGACACAGACAGACACACTCACACAGACACACATATGCCTCCACGGAGACTCACACAGAGACACACTAACACAGAAACACACATACACACACACATATATATATATGTATATATATATATATATATACTGGAGGGATAGCACAGCGGGTAGGGCATCTGCCTTGTATGCAGCCAACCCGGGTTTGATTCCTCCACCCCTCTTGGAGAGCCTGGCAAGCTACCAAGAGTATCTCGCCTGCACAGCAAAGCCTGCAAGCTCCCTGTGACATATTCAATATGCCAAAAACAGCAACAACAAGTCTCGCAATTTGTTGTGAGACGTTACTGGTTCCCACTCGAGCAAATCGATGAACAACGGGAGGACAGTGACATATATATATATATATGTATATATATATGTCCACATAGAGACACATGTGGAAATACACAGACACACAAACACACACAGAAACACATATTCATATATATATGCCAACAATCACACCAAGAAACATGTAGAAACACAAAGACACACATATAGACACACACACACACACACACACACACATGTACACACGCAGCTCCCTCAATCAGAATGTTGTGAGCTGCCCTGAAAATGGAGCCGTGGCCATCGGGTAGGGGGGTCAGAGGGAAGCCCCCCAACAGCCAGCCAGAAGTGTCCCACTACACTGGGCTGGCCGGGACGTGGGCCTGGCCCATGTGGTCTTCCGCTGAGCATCGCTTTGGGGAGGGCCCAGGGGGACTGGACCCTCGTTGTCTGCCTGGAACACAGGCCCGCAGAGGCTGGCACCTGGCCCCGCCATCTGCTCCTACAGCACCCCACCCTCAGGCGCAGGCACGAGGCCCCTCACCCTGACTTATTCGTAGAGCTGGTGGGTGCCTCTGTCCTGACCCAGCCGGGGCGCAGCCGGGCTTCGAGCTGACTGACCTTCAGGGATCTCAGCGTCAGGAAGTGATTCATGCCTGCAACTCACCACAGCCCATCCCTATAACATACCGTCATAGGAGCTCAGGAACACACGCACGCACATGCACACGCACACACACACACACACACACACACACCAGGAGTCCATACCCCCAGCAATGCTCAGGGCTTACTACTGGCTCTGCGCTTAGGGATCACTCCTGGCAGGGCTCAGGGGACCCTATGGGATGTCGGGGATCGAACCCGGGTCTACTGCTTGCACGGCCAGCGCCCTACCCGCTGTATGTCACTCCGGCCTCTTACTGGACGCCTTTGCCCCTACCCGCCAACATGGGGGCACTGGGGCTGGTCATCATCCGTGGGCCGCTCCTTCTTGGCCCAAGCAGTGGGACTGGGTGGGCACGGAGTAACATTGCATGCTCAGGGTGCTGGGCGTCCCCCAAAATGTGACACAATGTCCCCAATATTCCCAGTGCCCGCTGGAGCCCCACCTGCTGTGCCATCGCCCCGGCCCCCACGCACACACGCACGCAGACGTCGCCAACCTCTTCTTGCTACAAACACACACACACACACACACACACAAGGACCGCCCCCCAGCCCCCTCCATTACCAAAGCACGAACGTGCTCCCCGCAGCACCGGGGTGGAGACGCTTCTGCCCTCAGGCCCTCACATTCAGCGGGCAGTACTGGACACCCCACGCCGCCCCTCTCCCTCCCCCCAGCACCCCAGGCTCAGTGTAGGCGAGGTCAGTCTCTCTTGATGGAAGGCGCTTGCGTCCAGGCGGGCAGCGGAGGCGGTGCCACCCCCATCCCCTCACATTCAGGAGCCAGCCGGACCGTCCCCCGAGTTGTGCTCTGGCTTTCGGCCAGTCTTGGACCCCAAGCCCTACTGGGAGGGGGGGCTCGGGGCTGTTGGGGAGCAGCTGCAGACCCCGTGGTTATTGCCTGGTGACCTGAGGCCCGTCGCGTGAGCCCCTCCCCCAAAGAGGTGGGAAAAGGGCGAGTGGGGAAAAATTGGGGCCCCCCGGGGTGAGGCCTGAGGTCAGGGGGGGATGCAAGGAGGGGGCGGGTGTCCACGCCGCTGAGGAGAGACCCACACCCGCCGAGGCCCGCGCGCGTGGACACCCCTCAGCAGGTCACAGTGATCTAATGTGAGGGCGCAGGTCTTGCTGGGGTCACCCCAGGGAAAGAGATGGAGCGGGTGCTCGGTACCGCAGAGCTGGGCCGAACCCAATCTCCACCGGTGGCTTCTCTGGTCAACTCGTGCACACGGCCCCGCACTGGGCTTTGGGGGCATGTGCAGGCGGGAGGGGTCAGTGGGCAGGGGACTGAGGAGGAAGGGAGAGAGATGGACCAGGGCCAGGCGTGGGCTCCCTGGGCCTCAGTTTCCCTGGGAGAGGAGATGGGGGAGGAGGAGGAGGAGGAGGGACGATGGAAGATGGAGGAAGAGGAGGAGGAGAAAGGGGAGGAAGATGAAGGAGGAGAGGGAGGAAGGAGGAGGAGAGGAGGAGCCATAGGAGGAAGGTGAAGAGGGGAGGAGGAAGGAGGAGGGAGGAGCCTGCGGGGGGGGGGAAGAAAAGGGAGGAGGAGAAGGAGGAGCAGGGGAGGCGGAGCCTTGGAAGGAGGAGGGAGAAAAGGGAGGAGTCTCAGGAGGAGGGAGAGGGGAGGGCAGGAGAGTGGAGGGGGTGGGAGGAAGAAGGAGGGGAGGGGAGGAGGAGGGAAAGGAGAAGGAAGAAGGGAAAAGGCCGGGAAGGAGGAGGAGAGGGAGGAGGAGGGAGAGGGAAGAGGAAGAGAAAGGGGAAGGGAGAGAAAGGAGGAAGGAGCGGAGGGGGAGGAGAGAGAGAGAAAAGGAAGTGGAGAGGAGGGAGGAGGATGGACCTGAAGAGGGAGGAAGGAGAGGAGGATGGACCTGAAGAGGGAGGAAGGAGAGGAGGGAGGAGGAAAAGGAGGTGCGGAGGAGGGAGGAGGCGATGGGAGCACGAAGGTGGAGAGTGAGGAGGGAGAGGGGAGGTGAGGTGGGAGAAGGGAGGAGGGTGAGGAGGGAGGAGAGAAGAGGGAGGAGGGAGAGGAGGGAGGCAAGGAGGAAGGCGGCGGGGAGGAGGGAGAGGGGAGGCGAGGTGGGAGAAGGGAGGAGGGCGAGGAGGGAGGAGGGAGGAGAGAAGAGGGAGGAGGGAGAGGAGGGAGGCAGGAGGAGGGAGATGGGAGGTGGGAGGAGGGAGGCAAGGAGAAGGCGGCGGGGAGGAGGGAGAGGGGAGGCGAGGTGGGAGGAGGGAGGAGAGAAGAGGGAGGAGGGAGAGGAGGGAGGCGGCGCGGGGAGGAGGGCGAGGGGGAGGCGGCGGGAGGGGCGTGGCCGGGGCGTGGCCGGGGCGTGGCCAGTGCGGGGCGCGCTCACATGAGGGCGCACTTGCCCTTGAGGCGCTCTGTCCGCTTCTGCTTGCCCGCGTGCTTGCCGTCGATGCTGAGGCTCATGTGGCGGCGCGTCTCGAGCGTGAGCAGCTGCTGGAAGAGCTCCTTGACGTTGTAGTTCATCTTGGCCGACGTCTCCATGAAGGCGCACTTCCACTCCTGGGCCACGGCCTGCGCCTCGCGGGTGTCCACCTCGCGCTGCGTCTCGTCGCACTTGTTGCCCACCAGCATGACGGGGATGCCGTCCACGCTGCCCTTGATCTGCACGATGAGGCGGTAGATGGGGCCCAGCTCCTCCAGCGACTGCTTGCTGGTCACCGAGAAGACCAGGATGAAGGCGTGGCCCTTGGAGATGGACAGCCGCTGCATGGCCGGGAACTGGTGGCTGCCCGTGGTGTCGGTGATCTGCAGCGTGCACACGCTCTTGTCGCAGCTGATCACCTGCCGGTAGGTGTCCTCGATGGTGGGGATGTAGGTGTCCCGGAAGGTGCCCTTCACGAAGCGCAGCACCAGCGAGCTCTTGCCCACGCCGCCCGCGCCGAACACCACCACGCGGTAGTCGTTGCTCTGCTCCGGCATCTTCCAGGCGGGGCGCGGCGGTGGCGGGGGCCGGGACCGGAGGCTGGGACCCCAGAGGAACCCTGGACAGAGAGTGGTGTCACCGAGGCCCCGCGGAAAGGGGCCGTGGTCCCCAGGACCTTTCTCTTCTTTTCTTGCTTTTTGCGTCACACCCGGCGATGCTCAGGGGTTCCTCCTGGCCCATGCACTCAGGAATCACTCCTGGCAGTGCTCGGGGGACCCTATGGGATGCTGGGGATCGAACCCGGGTTGGCCCCGTGCAAGACAAACAAACGCCCTACCTGCTGTGCTACCGCTCCAGCCCTCTGGGGACCTTTCCTTTCTCGTTTTTCTTTTTTCTGTCTTTTTTTTTTCCCTGGCTTTTGGGGTCACACCCAGCGATGCTCAGGGGTCCCTCCTGGCTCTGCGCTCAGGGATCACTCCTGGGGAGGGATCATATAGGGTGTTGGGGAACCAACCTGGGTTGGCCGCGTGCAAGGCCAATGCCCTCTTCGCTGGACTATCGCCCCACCCCCACCCAAGCCTATCTGCTGAGTCTGATTCGTCCTGGCCAAGTCACCTCCCCCCCACCACTGTGGCTGCTCCTTACCACACCCCCACCCAGACAAAATCTGGGGTGTCTGCACTGGAAGATGATGCCAGAGGTGGCAGATATGTAACTTCTTCACCCTACTAGCCAGGGGGATACGCCAGCTTTGAACTCTCTCTCTCTCTCTCTCTCTCTCTCTCTCTCTCTCTCTCTCTCTCTCTCTCTCTCTCTCACCCCCAGCACAGCTCTGGGGACTTTGTAAGCCTGGCATACCCTCCTAGCTCTTTCTCTGCAAATTCATAGCTGCCCCCCTCACCCCCAACACACACAAACACACACACACACACACACACACACCCCAATCCTAAACCTCCAGGCAGCACCCCGCCCGCCCCAAAGTAGTTGGTGCATCTTGAAAAGGCGCTTTGTAGGGGGCCTGAGAGATAGGACTGTGGGGACGGCGTTCGCCTCCTCTGTGGCTGACCTGGGTTCTATCCCCGGCACCCCTCATGAGCTGCGCCAGGAGTGATTCTTGAGCACAGAGCTAGGAGTAAGCCCTGAGTACCACCGGATGTGGCACCAAAAAAAAAAAAATGCAAGTTTGCAGAGACACGGGCTCCCGGGAACCAGCATAGTTGAACCCCTCGCCTGCCGCCTGGTCCCAGGAGCCAGGAGGATGCTGAGGAAGAGGATCCAGGAAGCCCAATTTGTACACCAGGATGCTGACGAGGCAGCCTGGCGCCAAGGCTTGCTCCAGAAGCTCGCTGCCCAGCCTGGTGATGCGGCCAGCCCACCCCAGGGGCCCAGAACAGGGTCTGCGGGAACACAACGCCCTGCCAAGGGCCCTCCCCCTTCGGGCCTGATCCCTCTCCTGTACTCAGAGACTGGCAGGTAGACTCAGGAGGTCACACAGCAATTTCTGAATCAGCAGAAACGGAAGGAGCATGGGAGCAGTAGGTTCACGACCACTGGGGTCCTTGTTTTGAGAAAAAGCTCCCGCCATCCCCACCATGGTGGTGAGCGCCCCCCAGCAAGCACCCCTCCCCCAGTCTCCCCGCCCCCAGCAAGCACCCTTCCCCAACCCCCAGCAAGCACTCCTCCCCCCAACTCCCCACCCCTCCAGCAAGCACCCCTCCCTCAATTCCCCACCCCCAGCAAGCACCCCTCCTCCATCTCCCCCCAGCAAGTACCCCTCCCCCCAACTTCCCATCCTCAGCAAGCACCCCTCCCCCAAGTCCCCACCCCAGCAAGCACCCCTCCCCCATCTCCCTACCCTTAGCAAGCACCCCTCCCCCAACTCCCCACCCCTGCAGCAAGCACCCCTCCCCCATCTCCCCCAGCAAGTACCCCTCCCCCATCTCCCCCAGCAAGTACCCCTCCCCCCTCCCCACCCCACAGTCTGATTCTGATACCCCAACCCCTCCCAGTGCGCAGGGCGATGATCCTGACTGTGACCAGCAAGATTCTGGGAGGGATGTGCTGGGGTTGGGGGTCTCTGTTTTATAGAATGAGGGTTCTAGGGCAGTCAGAAAAAAAACCCAAAACACACCAATTCTCCCACCACCCATGGCCCCTGGAAACTTCTGGAGCTGGAAATGGGTTTTTGAGACCCAGACTTCAGGCTGATGGAGGACACGCTGGGCCACTCTTAGTTCTGGGGGGGACTCTGGGGAGGGGGTGATAGCGAAGGGGTGCGGCCATCAAGGTCCTTCCCACGGTGGTCACCCCCCGGAAGCTTCTCCCCCAGGGGCACCCTCACTTCTGGCCTGGGCAGCCTGGATTTCTGAGCACCTCGGGTCCCACCATGCTCTGCAGACAGACCCCCCTTGTTGGGGGAAGGAGGGTGTCTGCCAGGAGGTTACCCTGCAGAGAAGGGGACCCCATTCAGAGATACCCCAAATGCAGGCTAAGAGCTGCCTGCAGGGAGGTCTTGGGGAGGGCAGGTGGGGGGCACAGGGGCAAGGTCAGGGGGTACAGCGGATGCTCCCAAGGGGGGGCTCCCCCTGCGCGTCCACCTCAGCGGCTGCCCTGCCCTGGGCCGGAGGAGGTTGAAGCGACCTCCAAAGGAGCAGGCCATACCCGGGGGGGACGGGAGGGGGCCCCTCAGCAGCCGGACACCAGACTGGGGGGCTCTGACGGAGCGGGCGGGGGAGGAGGGCGGCACGGAGAGGCCAAGGGAGATGGGACGCGGCTGGGACCCCCCCAGGGAGGGCAGAGCTTTGGTGCGGAGGGGGGGCCCAGCCGGGGTCTCTGAGCGTGGGGGAGGGGCCCCAGCGAGGGGGCTTGGCCGGAGCAGCCGAGGGGGGCGGGGACGCGGGGCGCGCAGCGGGGGGCGCGGGGGGTGGGTGGGACGCGCCCTGGGCACGCGGGGCGCCGGAGCCGCCCGAGGCCCCGCAGTCCCGGCGGGGATGGGGGTGGGGGGACAAAGCAAGGGGCGCCCCCGCCCCCCGGTCCCCGCCGCCTACCTGGGCGCGCGTCCTGCGGCTGCCGCCCGCTCCGTGTCCGCTCCGGCGCCGCCGCCCCCCGCGCCCGCGCGTCCCCGCCCGTCCCCGCCCGCCGGGCGCCGCGCTCCGCCCCTGCTCCCCGGGGACCCGCGCCCACGGCCAAGGTCACCGCCGGCCCGGGAAGGGGGCGCAGGGGCGCGGGCCGGGCAGGGGGCGGCGCCCGAGGCCCGCGGGAGTTGGGGGGGGAGCACTCCCGGGAGGAGGAGGGGGGGATGAATGAATGAATCAAGCGCGCGCGGGAGCCCAGAAGGCGGCGAGGCTGCTCTGCGCCCACCCCCGCTCCCCGCACCCCACAATGTGGTCCCCGCAGCCGGGGTGGGGGAGCTGATGGCGTGGCTGGATGGGCCCCCAGATGCAGGCCTGCAGGTGGGGCCGGAGAGGGGGGTCCTGGCGAGCCCAACTGAGCGGGAGAGAGGCAGGGCCCTGGGTTTGGGGGTGGGGACGCCTCCTTTCTTCCAGGAAGTGTCCGTCCGCCTTCAGGAAGTGGCCGCGGCTGCATCCCGACTCGGGTGCAGCTACCCGAACCCCCAGGGCGCCGGGCCCGCCACACTGGGGTAGCCCCCAGCCCATCTGGGTTATGCCTGCAGGGGTTCCACAAGGAGGGACTGTCTGTGATCGCAGCGTGGAACCCGCTGGTTAGGAGGTCGGAGCCACCCCCCACAGAGCCCCCCAAAAACCAGGGCTGTGAGCAGGCGGCCCAGAAATTCAGGGTCCCTGAGGCTGCTGGGGCCTCACTGTCCCCCGAGTGCTGGGTCAGCCTGAAACCATCCACTTCCTGCTTCCTTGGGCTCTTGGGTGGACACTGACACCTCCACCCCCCCAAAAAAAAATCTGCCTTCCAGGCCGCAGTTTAGGGTTCTGAAGGACCCCTCCCCCCACACCTCTCTCCCCCACACCCCTTGCACAGACCTCACCCTCCTTCCAGGGACCAGGCAGGTCCCACATACCCCGCAGGCCGCCTTCCTGTGACCCCTACGCCCCCTGACCATCCTCCGTCCTTCCCGCTTGGGGTCCTTGGAGGGGCCCCCAGAGTCTCCCCTTTCTAGGGGATTCGGAGCAGCGATGAAGACCGCCCTGGGTTGCAGACAGATTCAGCCCGCCCCCTGCCTCAGTTTCCCAGGGCGGCTGCCCCTCAGGGTGGCGGGGAGTGCTGAAATCCACCGGTAACGGGGTGCTACGGGGCTCCCTCCGGCCCCAGTGTCTTCCGAGTGACCTGCAGGAGCTGGGCCGGGCCTCTTCCTGCTCGCTCTCCGGGCGCCAGCCCGGGCCGGGCCGGCTGACTCATGCCCAGCGACTCTGGGCTCAGCGACATCTCCCCGTGGTCGCTATTTATAGCTCCCGGTCAGGCTCCTGGGCTCTGGAACCCCAGATGGGCAGACCCCGCGGTCCCCTCTTCCGTCCACAGGAACACCCCGAAGAAGGCCAGCAGGACCCCGAAACTTTTACATGGTTCATGGGAACGTCCAGGCCTCAGCCAGGGGCTCCTGTGATGACAGTGACCAGATGTACCTGTCCAGTAGCTGCATCCGAGGCGGGCAGAGGCATGGTGCTTGATCTCATGCCTTCCTGATGTTTCTTCGCAGGTTGGGGGGAAGGGTCACACTGACAGTGCTCACGGCTGACTCCTGGCTCTGTGCTCAGGGATCACTCCTGACAGGACTTGGGAGACCCTATGCAGTGTTGAGACTTGAACCCACGTCATCCGTGTGCAAGGCAAGTGCCTTCTCCACTATTTTATTTCTCTAGCCTAGTTTTGTCTTAAAATAACCAGAAGGGGCCGGAGCCATAGCACAGTGTGTAAGGCATTTGTCTTGCACGCGGCCAAACTTGGTTCGATCCCCAGCATCCCATATGGTCCCCCGAGCACTGCCAGGAGTAATTCTTGCATGCAGAGCTGGGAGTAATCCCTGTGCATGGCCAGTGTGACCCAAAAAGAAAAAAAAGTCAGAAGGGGGCCAGGGGAGAGATAATATATGGGGATGGCGTTTTCCTTGGATACAACCAACCCTGGGTTCGATCCCTGGCATCCCATAGACTCCCCTGAGTCCTGCCAGGAGTGATTCCTGAGTTCAGAGGCGGGAGTCAGCCCTGAGCATCGCCCAAGTGACCCCAAAAGTCAACAAACAAACAAAACTGTCCAAAGGGCTGGGCCTGGGGGCCCCCTGGCTTGCGGGAGGGCTGTGTCCCTATCTTAAAGGATCATGGTCACAGGCTAGGTAGGGTTTTGTCACAGAGAGCCAGGGCGGTTTGGTCACTTGGGGGACAGGACAGTGACAAGGGGGATTCCCCGGGGTCTCAGCACTGGCTGCTCCTTCGACAAGAAAAGCCCAAGGCGCCCCTTTGGATGTTGAATTTTGGGGCCACCTGCGGTGGTACTCTGGAGCTGTCCCTGGTACTCAGGAGTCCTTATGTGGTGATGAGGATGGAACCTGGGGCCTCACTCAGCCAGGCCTTCGAATCCCTGCCCACTGCTCTTCCCCCACCTTCTCTAAGCTGCCCTCCCAGGTTGTAGCGGCCCCCCACCATGTGGCCCACGGTGTGCCCAATTCCAAGGTTCCCCTCCAGAATGAGAGGCGTGGGGCGGGAGCGATAGCACAGCAGGTAGGGCATTTGCCTTGCATGCAGCCAACCCGGGTTCGATCCCCGGGATCCCCATATGGTCCCCTGAGCACCGCCAGGAGTAATTCCTGAGTGCAGAGCCAGGAGTAACCCTTGTGCATTGCCAGGTGTGACCCGAAAAGCAAAAAAAAAAGAAAAAAGACAGAATGGGAGGTGCCTCCTTCTCTAGGGTGGGGTGGCTCATCCCAGGGGCCACCCCCCCTCACCCCTACTCAGACACATACAAACACTGGGTCTGGTCAAGGAGGACGTGTATGTACTTCAGAACTGGGCAGGGGGATGGGGCTCCGGGCATCCAGAGGGGGTGATCAGATCCCCCAGAACTCACTCTCCAGCCCCGGCAGGTCCCAGAGCAGGGTGGGGGCAGATGAAAGACCGGGATGATGGCTGGTCCTAGGTGTCCCCAAACAAGCAGTTTGGGCGCCCTGTCCCTCTCCCCTCCCTGCCCCTGTTGACCCAGGAATGACCTGCCTGCCTCAGGGTCCAGGACAGGTCTGGGGTCTGCTGGGAATTGGGGGGCTCTCAAGAGTCCAGTAGGGGGCAACTGCTCCTGCCCCCCCCTGGACTGGGGATGTCTTCCTCCTCCTCCAGCTCCATCTGGCCTGAGCACCCCTAAGAGCAGAGTCTTCGTAGAACCCCCACGGCCTTGGGGGATGCCTGCGCCCCTGCTGTGGGAGACCGGGGTGACCTGGGGGTGGGGACGCCTCTCCTTCACAGCCCAGGTGGCGGGACAGACTCCGCACCCCGTTGGCTTTACAGGTTCCCCGGAGAAGACACAGGCAGGCCCAGAGCGGCCCCCCTTCTGGCCCCCTGCTAATAACTTCTCTGGGTGCAGCGCAAACACAGACGACAGCAGCCGGCAGGCTGTCATTAGGGCGGGCGCAGTCCTGGGGTGCTGGGCCGCCCCGCAATTTCCTCGAGCAGAGGAGGGGAGAGGCCCCCCTCTGAACCCTGCGGCTGGCGAGGGTGTAGGGCTGGGCCGGGCCCTCCCTGGGGGAAGCATCACCAGCAAGATGGGGGGGTGCTGCCATGTGCTGGGGGGTCCCTGTGAGGGCAGCAGGTGGCCCCGGGATGAGTGCACATCCACACACATCCACACACACACTCAATTACACTCAGAGTAACAGTCACAGTCACGCACACTCACAGTCACAGGCTGACATCCACACACACAGCCAGTCAGTAACTCACAGCCACACACTCATAGTCACACAGTCACACAGACTCAAGTCACACACTCTTACAGTCACACTGGTACACACTCAGACTCGTACAGTTACACACTCAGTCAGTTATGCACGTAGACACACTGACGTACCCCTCACATAAGTCAGTCACACATACTTACAGGCAGTCACTCATACAGTCACAAGTTATACCCTCACATAGTCACACAGCCACGCATTCATAGTCACGGTCACACACTATTACACACTCTCATAGTCACACCGTCACGTATTCAGTCACACTGTTCCACTCACATAGTGATAGTCACACAGACATACACAGGGTCACACACTGACATGCCCATACACACAGCCACACAACTCATCGCATCATACACACTCAGTGACAGTCACAGTCACACACACGTAGTCACACTCATAATCACACACACTCTCAAGCTAACACTTTTGTTTCTGGGCCACACCTGGCCATGCTCAGGGATCACTCCTGGTGGGGCTCATATGGGATGCTGAGGATCGAACCCAGCTCGGCCATGTGCAAGGCCACCGCCCTCCTCGCTGCACTACGGCCCAGCCCCTCCTGGGACTGAGGGCTCGTGGGCTCGTGCTGGCGGGCCAGGTGACTCTATGCCGTGTGGGGTATTGAACCTGGGCGGGTCAGCAGGGCCAGCGCTGAGCGGTGTGACCCCTCTGATTCCCGGGGGAGGGGGGGTTGGGAGGGAAGGGTGAGCACCACAGCATCAGCCCACCCACTGACCACAGCCCCCCTCGACAAGCCCCCTGCAGGAGGGGGACACGACAGGCAAGAGGGGCACCGGTGTGCCCCCTGCCCCGACTTCTCTTTGGTCCATGCACAGGATGTGGTTCCTGGAAGCAGTTCCACTGGGGTGGCCAGGACTGGCCCAACAGATGGGGCTGGGTGGACACAGCCCTTCGTGGAGCCCCCAAGCTGGTCTGCAGGGTGGGTGAGACTGGCAGCAGAAATTTAACCGGGGGGCTAGAGAGACAGTACAGCAGGTAAGGTGCTCGCCTGCCTGGCACGCAGCCGTCTCAAATCGATTCCCGGCATCCCAAAGGGTCCCCCGAGGAGCCCCACTAGGAGTAACCCCTGAGCATTGCTGGATGTGCCCCCCAAAAGAAAGCTTTAATGGGGGACCCAGGGGTGCATGGGATTGTGGCCCGCCCCCCCCCAGGGGACTGGTGGGAGAGTCGGGGTACGGCGGATCCAAAGAAGCGGGTGTCTCAGAGCCACGTCCTGGATCTGGCCTTCTGTGACGAGGGCACTGGAGCGTGAGCGAGGCCCCCGGGGTGCCCACCTTAAAGCCACCCGCTGTCCCTGGGGCTTCCTGAGGGGCCAGAAGTGGGGACGCACCCCCTTCGGTGGCTCTCGGGGGCCTGTCAAGGTGGAAATTTTTAAAAAATTTTTCATTTTTGCTTTTGGGGCCACACAGGACTGTGCACAGGGATCACTACTATAGCAGGGATTTGAGGGGACCCAATGGGGTGCTGGGGATCGGACCTGGGTCTGCTCAAGGCAGCCCTCCCTGCTGTCCTAGGGCCTCATTTAAACGGACCCCAGGAGCTGGAGAGACAGTGAAGCGGGGAAGGCTTTGCATATGCTGGACTAGGGTTCTAGCCCAGGCACCAAACACAGCTCAGTTCCGCCAGGAACAACCTGAGCACCTCTGGGTGTGGCCCCCCAAACCCACTCCCCCAAAAGAAAAGGCCCTAGTGGTTGCCAGGCCCCTGGTGGCCAGGAGGAGGACAGGGAGGCGCCCCGAGATAGCGGGCAGCAGTGGCGGGGGGAGGGCTGAGGGTAGCCGGAAGACAGAGGGGCTCCCCCAGCCACCGGCAGCCTCCTGGCTCCGCCCAGCTCTTAGCTCTGCTGGAAGACACAGCTGGTTGCCGGGACGACTATGGATTTGGGGCCCTGGGGAGGGTTGTGAGTCCCCTGGGTCAACCCGTGTGCACAGGGCTCTGTCGCTGGCTGGCGGGGAGCCCGCGTCCCCCCGGAGTTGCTGATGCTTGGCGATGGGAGCCCGAGCCTCAGAGGAGAGAATCTTCCAGGGAACGGCACCAGATGGCAAGGAAGGACGAGAACGGGGTGCTGAGGTCCCTGGGCTCCCCCCCATCCTAGAAGCACGAGGGGGTGCCCAGGGGGCTGCCAGGCCCGAAGGGAGGCCCAGTACTGGCACCTCAGAGTGGAGACGCAGCTGGGGCAGACGCCAACCTCATGTTTTGGTTGGTTTGGGCCACACCTGGTGGTGCTTGGGGCTGACTCCGGTCTGTGCTCAGGGATCACTCCTGGGGATACTGGGGGACCCTATGGGATACCGGGAATCGAACCCGGGTCGGCATTGTGCAAGGCCAGCCCCCAAACCTCTTTCAAGATCCGACAGCTGGGGGCCAGAGAGAGCACAGCACAGAGAGAGCACATGCTTACCCCGCATGCAGCTGACGTTGACTTTGATTCCTGATTCCCCTTAGGATCCCCCAAACCCCACCAGGAGCAATCTCTGAGTGCAGAGCCAGAAGCCAGCCCTGAGCACTGCGGAGAGTAGCCCCCCCCCAAAACAGACCAAAAACAACAAAAAATTTCAAAAGGTGGGGGAAGTGCCAGAATAGCAGGCAAGGTGCTTGCCGAGCACACGGCTGACCCAGGCTCAATCCCCAGCACCCTGAACCCGCCAGGAGTCAGCCCTGAGCAGGTTGTGGCCCCCAAACCAAAAGAAGAAAAATCAACAGGGGCTGGAGCAATAGCACAGTGGGTAGGGTGTTTGCCTTGCACACGGCTGACCCGGGTTCAATTCCCAGCATCCCATAGGGTCCCCTGAGCACCGCCAGGAGTAACTCCTGAGTGCATGAGCCAGGAATAACCCCTCTGCAATGCTGGGTGTGACCCAAAAAGCAAAAATAAATAAATAAATAAAAAAGGGTCAGAAGGGCTGAATCCCTGCCCCCCACGGTGGGGTGAGGGGTGTCTTGGTCCGACCCCTGGGCGTGTCCAGAGCCCCCACCCCCCCACAAGCGCTTGACAAGGCCACACACTTGGGTCTTTTAAGAGAAGTATCTTTCAGAGTCGGAGGGAGCGGGCCCCGAAGCAGCTCGGGCCGGAGGGTCTGGAGTGTGACCTGGTCCCGGAGAGTGTGTGTGTGTGTGTGTGTGTCTGCGTGAGCGTGTGTCCGTGTGCGTGCGTGCATGCGTGCGTGCGCGCGCGCAGGGAAGAGGCGTGGCCGGGGGGGTGCAGGGGTGGGGGGAGGGGGGAGGGCGCCCCGCCGGGGGGTCACCACTTCAGGAAGACCATGGCGGCCAGCACGGCGTAGCCCAGCACCAGGAAGAGCACCTTGAGCAGCCGGTCACTCTTGTCCTCCAGCTCCCTGGCCAGGATCTCGAAGAAGGTGACGAACAGGAAGGTGCCCCCCGCCAGGCCCTGCAGGAGCACGGAGGCCACGCTGCTGGCCACGCCCTGGGCGCTCTCGATGCCCAGGCCCAGGCCGATGCCCAGGGGGATCATGGCGCTCACGGTGACGGCCAGCTTGGCCGCGTCCCGCAGGGCCAGCGTGCTGCGGGCCATGTTGATGCCCAGGGCCACGGCCACCAGCGTCTCGTGCACGGCCACGCCCACGAAGAGGCTCACCACCTTCTGGCCCTCCTCCTGCAGGCCCAGCGCCAGGCCCTCGAAGACCGAGTGGGCCGACAGCGCGAAGGCCAGGCTGAGCAGGCGCAGGGGCCGGGCCCGCGACAGCTCCTGCACGCTCAGCCCGTGGTGGCCGTGCGGGCCCGGCTCGGCGTAGAGCGGGTGGCCGCGGCCCGCGGCGCCCGCCGTGCCCATGAAGGGGCTCTCGTACTCCGAGTCGCTGCCCGCGTCCGAGCCCGCGTTGAAGGTCTCCAGGTCGATGAAGGACGGCTTCTCCTTGCGGAAGGTCAGCACCAGCTGCTCCAGGAAGACGGTCAGGAAGAAGCCCAGCAGCATGACGGTCTCGGCCAGCGGGTAGTCGGTGCTGATGTGGCCGAGGCTCAGGACTTTCTGCAGCTGGGCGTGGGGGGCGGGAGAGACGGCGGCGGCGGGGTCAGCGCCCACCTGCGCCCCTCACCCCCATCCCAGCACGGTCTGAAGCCCCCACGCCGGGGGCTTCAGAATTGTTTTGTTTTTTTTGTGTGTGTCACGCCCGGCCATGCACAGGAATCACTCCTGGCGGTGCTCGGGGGACCCTATGGGATGCTGGGAACCGAACCCGGGTTGGCTGTGTGCAAGGCAAACGCCCCACCCGCTGTGCTACCGCTCCAGCCCCCGGGTTAGGATTTCGTACCCTCAGCGATGCCAGGGATTAAACCCGGGGCTCCCATGTGCCAATGGTGTGCTCCAGCCCTTTGCTTCATCTCCCTCAGAGCTGAGGGCAGAGAGCGAGTGGGGAGTGTGTGTGTGTGTGTGTGTGTGTGTGTGTGTGTGTGATGTGTGTGAGACAGTTCAAAGGGCTGAATACACGATTCAAAAACAAAACAAGAGGCCAGTGCACAGGCTTACCCAGGTTTGGTCCCCAGCACCCCATATGGTCTCTGGAGCCTGCCAGGAGTGATCCCCGAGCACAGAGTCAGGAGTCAACATCGGCCCAAACCACCCCTCCAAAAGATCAAAACCAGAACAAGGGGTCAGAGCAATAAAGAGGACAGCAGGAAGGGCATTTGCCTTGCACGTGGCTCACCCAGGTTCCATCTCTGGCATCCCACAGGGTCCCCCAAGCACCACCAGGAGTGATCCCTGAGCGCAGAGCCAGGAGGAAGCCTGAGCACCATCAGAGGAGGCCCCGCCCCCAAAAAGCAACCTAGAGATGCCGGAAACAGCTGGTGAGACCAGGCACAAGGAGGGAACAGTTTGTGACCAGAAACAGTGCCCCCAAGAGCATCACATGGGGAGGGCCTGCGGGGTGTGATTCCTGCACACCTGCCTCTTCCTGTCACTCCCACACCTGCCCCTCAGGGCTCTACTATAGAACTTTCTGGATGAGGGGCAGACTCTGGGAGTGGCCAGCGGGTGCCATATTCCCCCTGGTTTCCCTGGAGCAGACAAGGGTTCTCATACATGCATGTACCCACACAAGTGGGTACACACACACACACACACACACACACACACACTCCCTCTCCTTCCTGTCTGGATTGGATACACACACACATGCACGCTCTCTTTCTCTCTCTCTCTCTCTCTCACACACACACACACACACACACACCCAGCCCTCCTGCCTGGCCACCCCTGGTGCCGTGGCTTTGGAGAGCCCCGTGGCCACACCAGCCGTTGCTGGCCGTGTCCCTCCCTTATGGCCGGGCCCAGGGAGACCAGACGGTCCCCGGGGAGCCCGGGCTCAGCGCAAACACCTGTGGATCCCTGAGCGACAGGCATGGGCCAGGAGCCTGCGATAGACACAGCCACTTGGGTCTCTGTGTCTGTGAGGGGGGCTGGGGGCTGGCGGGGGCCCTGGGCCTTGCAGAGCGGCATCAGGGCTGATGCTGTGCGGGTGCTGGGAGATTGGGGTGCAGCTGTCAGGGAGGGCCCCAGAGGGTACCCTCAGCACTGCTGCGACCTGACTGATGACACCAGGGAGGGGGAGGGGCGGACTCCACCTCACACGGGGCGCTCCTCGGCTCCTCCCCCCTGAGAAATCACAGCGGCCCCTGGCACAGGTGGGATCCACTTCCTGGTGTCAGCAGAGCTGGGGTCCCTGGCTCCCTGCTGCCATGGGCACTGCCTGACTCTGCCTCCTCCCCTCCACCCCCACTTCCCAGAGGTGAGCAAGTGTCCGTTCTGCTGAAGTCTCTGATCTTACCGAGGCTCACCTGATTAGACCTGACCCACCCAGACATAGCCCTAGTTCACCTCAACTCCAATCCCTCCTTCTACACAGGGGGTGATGCCTTTGGCAGGACCCCAAGCCCCAAAGGTGGGGGGGGTGCGTGACCCATTGTGTCCCAGGCCCACCCTCACACATGGGGCTGGAGGTCCCTGATGGAGAGGCAGGGCAGGCTGGACTGTGGGAGCCGTAGGATGGTGGGGAGGGTGCTGCGAACGGCCAGTCTGGGTCCAATCCTCAGCACCCAATAAATTCCCCCCAAGCCCCACAAGGAGGGATCCCCCAAGCACAGAGCCAGAAGTAAGCAAGCCCTGAGCACTGTCAGTAGTGGCCCCCAAACTAAAAACAAAAAAAGGGGGGTAGTCAGGCCTTTGGGATCTACGGTGTAAGAAGAGCAAGACCCAAGGGCCGGAGAGACGGGACAGCGGGGAGGGCGCTGGCCTTGCGGGCGGCCGACCCAGGTTCGATCCCCTGGGCACAGCCAGGAGTGATTCCTGAGTGCAGGGCCAGGAGCCAGCCCTGAGGCAAACAGACGAAACAGGACAAGCAGAGAGTCACACCACATGGTCCCCCACCGCCGTGGCCCCTCTCACGGGACCCATGGACACAAGCGGGGTACAGCCTGGGCCAGAAGCACTCAAGAGCCCCAGGTGGGTGACGTGGGGCCCCCCAGTACCCAGCCGCTGACATCCCCACATAGCCCTTCTCCTGGGCGGGGAGCCAAGGGGATGGACTGTCCCTCCTAGCCAGTCTCACATGAGAAAGGACTTCCCCGGTCCAACAGCTTCCAGGAAGGACAACAGGAAATGGCCAGAACAGGCGTCCCAGGAGGGACTGGAGGGAGGCGGGAAGGAGGCCCCAGCAGAGCCTCTCTGGCCTGGCTGGGCCCGCAGACGAGCTGAGCAGTGGCTAGCAGACGGTCTGGCGAGCGCCCCCAGCATGGCCCGAGCCCAGGCCGGGCCGGGAGCACAGAAATGGAGAAGGAAAAGACGCAGTTTGCTTTGCCTTGTTTGGAGGTCACACGTGGCACTGCTCAGGGGAGCCTATGGGATGGCGGGGATCGAACCCGGATGGCAGCTAGCCATCCTGGATGCTGCGCAGGCCCAGCGGCAGAGACCGACAGATGCTCCTTTCCTGGGCTGGAGTGGTAGCACAGAGGGGAGGGCGTTGGTCTTGCTCGCGGCCAACCCGGGTTCGATTCCCAGCATCGCATAGGGTCCCCCGAGCACCGCCAGGAGTCATTCCTGAGTGCAGAGCCAGGAGAAATCCCTGAGCATCGGCCGGTGTGACCCAAAAAAGGAGAAAAATAAAAAGCTCCTTTCTTTACCATTAGCCACAAGTAAGGGACACAGGACAACTGGACAGCGTCTGGGCAAGGCAGAGGTCAGCAGGGTGGGGGCCTGGGCAGGGGCTGGCTGATGGATGCACCAGCTGCGAGTTCCCATCTGGGGTCCAGAGACTCCCAAATGAATCTCAAATTGGGTTAGTTCCCGGGGCTGGAGCGATGGCACAGCGGGGAGGCTGTTTGCCTTACACGTGGCCGACCCGGGTTCGATTCCCAGCATCCCATACGGTCCCCCAAGCACCGCCAGAAGTCATTCCTGAAAAAAGTTCCCATCTGGTTCCAGCCTCTTGTGGACCCGAGAAGGCTCAGAGAGGCCCAGCCACCAACCCACAGTCACACAGCCGGTTCCTGCCCATCACTGGCCCAGGAGGAAGCCGGGGCTCCCCTGCAGCCCTCACCTTATCCCGCACGGCCGGCAGGAGCGCGTTGAAGCACGTGGCCAGGAAGACGCCGCCGCCAAAGGCGTTGCACAGGGACAGGATCTTCTTGGAGCGGTGGGCCTTCTCGTAGTCGGCCTCGATGACCTTCACGGGCAGCAGCGAGCCGAGCAGCATGAAGAAGAACACGCCCACCATGCACAGGATCTTGGCCACCAGCAGCTTCATCGTGGCGGCCGTCCCGGCGGGCCCCCAGGCCAGTCCCACGCCGCGCTACCGGGCCCAGCCCCGTGGCCTTCGGCTCATGCCTCAACCCAGCCTCTGTGAGCGGCAGGGACAGTCACATCAGCCACAGGTAACGCCCCTCGCCCCTGCACCCTGCGCTGGGCCTGGCACACACACTCCCACCCTGAAAGAGAAGAGTCTGGCCGCCCTTTGGGGGTGACACCAGCCCTGTGCCCAAGGAAGCCGAAAGTCCAGCCAGCAGGGCTGGAGCAGTACCACAGTGGGGAGGGCATTTGCTTTGCATGCGGCTGACCCAGGGTCAATCCTCGGCCTCCCAGGGCCCCTGGGTGCCAGCAGGAGTGATCCCTGACAACAGAGGCAGGAGTCAGCCCTGAGCACCGGGGCAAGAGTGATCCCTACACAGAGGCAGGAGAGAGCCCTGAGTCCAGAGCCAGGCGTGATCCCTGAGCACAGAGGCAGGAGTGATCCCTGAGCACCGTAGCAGGAGTGATCCCTGAGCACACAGGCAGGAGTGATCCCTGACAACAGAGGCAGGAGTCAGCCCTGAGCACTGGGGCAAGAGTGATCCCTACACAGAGGCAGGAGAGAGCCCTGAGTCCAGAGCCAGGCGTGATCCCTGAGCACAGAGGCAGGAGTGATCCCTGAGCACCGTAGCAGGAGTGATCCCTGACAACAGAGGTAGGAGTCATCCCTGAGCACTGGGGCAAGAGTGATCCCTACACAGAGGCAGGAGTGAGCCCTGAGTCCAGAGCCAGGAGTGATCCCTGAGCACAGAGGCAGGAGTGATCCCTGAGCACCGTAGCAGGAGTGATCCCTGAGCACAGAGGCAGGAGTCAGTCCTGACAACAGAGGCAGGAGTCATCCCTGAGCACTGGGGCAAGAGTGATCCCTACACAGAGGCAGGAGAGAGCCCTGAGTCCAGAGCCAGGCGTGATCCCTCAGCACAGAGGCAGGAGTGATCCCTGAGCACCGTAGCAGGAGTGATCCCTGAGCACAGAGGCAGGAGTGATCCCTGACAACAGAGGCAGGAGTCAGCCCTGAGCACCGGGGCAAGAGTGATCCCTACACAGAGGCAGGAGAGAGCCCTGAGTCCAGAGCCAGGCGTGATCCCTGAGCACAGAGGCAGGAGTGATCCCTGATCATCTCTGGGTGTGGTCCCAAAACAAAACAAAACATAAAAATCCCAAACCAAAAGCCAAGGCTGAGCCAGTAGGGGCCGGAGTGACAGGACAGTGGGGAAGGCGCTCGCCTTGCACACTGCTGACCCATGTTGGATCCCCGGCCCGGCACCCCATATGGGTTTTCCTAAGCCCCGCCGGGAGTGATCCCTGAGCACAGAGCCAGGAGTCAGCCCTGAGCACTGTTAGATGCAGCCCCCCCCCAAACAAACAAACAGGGGCCTGACCAACTGATCATACAGCAGGTGGGGTGTTTGCCTTGCATTCAGCCAACCCGGGGTCATTCCCTGGCATCCTTTAGGGTCTCACAAGCACCACCAGGAGTGAGCCCTGGGCGCAGAGCCAGGAGTCAGCCCTGAGCACTGCTGGGCGTGGCCCCCAAACAAAAGATGATGGTGCCAGCCCTTCCTCACCCCCCAGCTGCCCCTTGCCTCTGTATGAGTCTGTGGGTTTTTTTTTTCCCCAGCAGGAACAGCCTATTTCCTGCTGGGAAAACGTCCAAGTGCAAGGCCTGAGGCTAAGGCTCAGGTGCCAGCTCCGCCCCGCCCTGGCATAAGGTGCTCTGGAGTGCTCAGTCTGCACCTGCCTGCGGGCCTTTGCACAACCTGACCGTTCTCTCAGCCCGGTACAGGGGTTCCTCAGCTCAGCTCTGACTCCTGCTCCCTCCTCAGCTGCTCCGGCCTCTGGCTCTCCCCTGGGTGAGTGGCCCCCTTCGCGCCCTAAACTGCACCCCTGGTACCCACCGTGACACCTGGCGCAGGAGAGACACTCGGGAAGTGTGGGCTGAGCTCCCAGGCGAATCGGAGCAAGTGTGGGTCCTTACATGACTCGGAGACATCCAGCCCCGGACCTGCCAGTGCCACCAACGACAGAAGGACCGTGAGGACTGGGGACGTGGGTGCAAAGGGCCCACACATGCGAGGGGGCCCTCAGTTCCATCCCCGGCACTGCTTGTCCCCGGGGCACTGCTAGGGAAGGTCTGAGGGGGGTGCTCAGGGTACCACAGTGACACACACACACACATACAAGGACTGGACTGGGTAGAGAGACAGGACAGTGGGGAGGACGTTAGCCTGACCCAGGTTCGATCCCCGGCACCCCAAAGGGTCCCCCGAACATGTGATCCTTGAATGCAGAGCCAGGAGTTAGCCCTGAGCATTGCCAGGTGTGGCCCCCCCATCACCAAAAAAAGGGCCAAGGGGGGATTGAGGAAGAATCCCAGTGGGGAAGGAGCATGCCTTACAGGAGCCCAACCTGGGTTCGATCCCCACACGGCCTCCTTGGGGCTCCCTAGGAGCGATCCCTGAGCAGAGGCAGAAGCCCTGAGCAATGCAGAATGTGGCACCCCCCCCCAAAAAAAAAACCGGGTGGGAGCTTCGGCTATTTCCTGTCTTTAGATGCTCCCAGATCTAAATTCCTTCGCCCACCCCCGCTGGTTAGAGCCTACTCTTTGCCCCGGCCCCCACCCTTTGCCATTCTTTTGGGGCACTGCATGTGACCCCGGGAACCTTGAGTCCCCCAATGTCTTCACTCGCTGGAGGTGGCCAGAGGTACCCCCCCGCCACGGACAGCCCAGGATGCAGCCGGGGTCTCCTGGGGGGCTCCGGGTGTGCGTGGAGATGCCGGGGAGGGGAGGTCCCTAGAGGCCGCCGGGGCGGGCACGTTCGCTCATTCATCCACCCCGCACTTACGGGGGCTGCTCCGTGTGCCCCGCGCCGCACGGGGGTCCGGGCGGGAAGGTCGCACCCTGCAGCAAGCGGACCTCGATTGCCCGGGTCTCGCGGGTAAACGGGGGGCCAGGGCCCGGCCGGACCTCTGCGGACGGCCCCGACCCGGCTCGCACGGATGCCCCGCCGGACCCCTCCGCTGCCCGCCGGCGCCGCTCAACGGCCGCGCGGTGTCCACCCCACGGCCGCCGTCCCGACCGCGGCCCCCGGCTCGGCGCGCCGGTGCCCCCACGCCCCGCCCACGTCCATTCCTATTGGCCACGCCGACTCCCGGAGGGCAGGAGGCGCCGGCTTAGTGGCTGCCGGAGCCGTCACTCATTGTGGAGACTCCACCCCCTTCTGCCGGCACGGGAAGGTGGTTTCCTCCCGCGGAGCGGTGGGTGCAGCTACCAGGGGGCTCGGGCGGAAACTCGCTCAGGTGGAGGAAGAGTTCCGGGAGGAGGGTTGTTGGCTTTTCTAGAGCTGTCCAGGGGCTTCTGGTGCTGAATCCCGCGGGGGATGGTTTCAGGGGCCGGGAAGAGAAGGGATGGCCTACAGCTTTCGGAGACCCCTTCGGCTCAACATCTCTGTCTACTCTGTGCCAGTATCTATTCTAGAACAACGTCTGTGAACTGAGAAAAACTCGGTGGAGTTCTTTTGCATTCTAGGAAAATAATAAATACAGTAATAAGGGGAATTTTGTCAAAATGTGACAGTGCCCTAGAAAGACCAATATGTGAGGGGCAGAGAGATTGCACAGCAGGGAGGGCGCTTTTTTTGCATGCGGCTGACCCAGGTTTGTATCCTCGGTATTCCAGAGGCCCCCCCAAGCCTTGCAGGAGTGACCCTTGCGTGCAGAGCCAGGAGACAGACCTGAGCATCGCCAGTTTGGGGGTGGGGGTCACAGCCAACAGGGCTCAGGAACTACACTGACAAGGTGCTTTGGGGACACCCTGTGGCACCAGGAATCGAACCCAGGGCTCCCACATTCAAAGCCTGTGGCCCAGCCCTTTGAGCCACTTTTCTGGCCTGGGTTTTCATTTTATTTATATATTGGTTTGGGGGCCACACCAGTTGGGGGCCACACCAGGCAGTGCTCAGGGCTTTCTACTGGCTCTGCGTTCAGGGGTCACTCCTGGCGGGGTGTCAGGATTTGAATCTGGGTCAGCCACGTGCAAACCCTACCCACTGTATTATCATTTCAACGGATTTTTTGTTTGTTTTTCGTTTTCGTTATGCTCATTGAGGGTTTTAAGAAGGTGAGGGCGTGATTCTTCTGACCTTACTTTTTTTTTTTTTTGGTGGAGGGGGTGAAGGGGTGTTTGAATCACTGGTGGTGGTAGCACTGCACTGCACTGTCCTGTTGTTCATCGATCAGCTCTAGCGGGCCCAGTAACGTCTCCATTGTGAGACTTGTTATTACTGTGTTTGGCATATCCAATACGTCACGGGGAGCTTGCCAGGCTTTGTTTTGCCGAGCGGGCGAGATACTCTCAGTTACCTTGCCGGGCTCTCAGAGAGGGGTGGAGGAATCGAACGCGGGTTAGCCCTGCCCGCTGCGTGCAAGAGCGTTCCTGGCTCTGGGCTCAGGTCCGCCCCCTGGTGGTACCCAGGGATTTCTCCCCCACGCTTCTGAGACGGAATCAAGGTCTTTTACAGGCAAAGGAAGTATCTTAGCCCCCACCCCACCCCTGTGCTCTCTCACCCGCCCTGACTTTACATTCTTGTGAAGGGAAGATAGTAGGGCATGGGGGCAAGTGAAGCAGCAGAAATCAAGCTGAGTTTGGCATCTGGGCAGGACGTAGGAGCGGGGAAGCCGAAATGTCTCAGGGGGGGGTTGGCAGGACCCGTCGTTGGCTTGTCTGTTTGGGCTGTGGGAACTGAGGGCGTGCAGAGGACTCCTCCTGTTCCTGGCCTGAGTATGCACAGAGTTGTGCACAAAAATAGGAAAGACTGGAGAAGGTTTAGCTACTGGAGGAATCTAAGTTCATTTTGATGTTGTTGTTTTGGGGGCCACACCTGGTTGATGTGTAAACCCAGGGTTTACTGCCCTGGGGACCCTATGGGATTCTGGGGATTAAACCCAGGTTGGCTGTATGCAAGGCAAATGCCCTCCTCGCTGTCTTATCACTCGGCCCCACGGTCACTTTAAGAGAGATCATGTTGGGGCTGGAGCGATAGTACAGTGGGT